TAGAACGCTGGAACTAAGCGTTACCAGTTTCGCAAAATTAGGAGGTCTTGGAGCTTATGGTATAGATACTCGTATAATCTGGATAATTTTTAATTTATCAACAATTTCCTTTAAGGTTTTTTTTTAAAAAAATTTAAATTTTAAATGTTTAAATTATTAAGTGAGGTTGTCACATGATCCAAGGATTACTTTGACAATCGGTCGGTATTGCACGTAAATGGTAATGAGGAACTCGTTTCAGAGCTTGAACGAGCTCATAACAGCATTTTTGACCGAATGAAAGACGCTTAGGTATAGTTGCAGGAATAGAAAATACGCTAGATGTCAACTTTTTTGAGTTTTAATAAAAAAAAAATAACCTTGCAAGAGGAATAATATATAATTATATTTCAAAGTCAACATTTGAGTCCTTTGTTAATTATGAAGATAACCCTGTAAAGTAAGGTATTAATTTAAGCATTGTATTCAAGTCAATTGCATTTTTTTTATGCTGCCAAAATAGTGCGAGGGCGCATGCTGCGCCAAAAATGTCAATGATAGTAAAATGATTTTCTCGTATCATTGAAAATTTCTCAAAACCTATTTGCTCCTTATTTGATGCTTCATCCTTGGTCATCGTATTCGGGTTCCCCGTTTTTGGAGTTCTCGCCATTAGAGTGCCCACTTTTTGAGCTTTTTTCTTTGGTGTCCTCGTCTTTAGATTTTTCGTCTTCGGAGCTCTGGTCTTTGAGACTTTTGCCTTTAGGGCTCTTGACTTTGGTACCCTTGTCTTTGGTGCCATTTTCTTTCGGGTCCTCGTCTTCAGGTTCCTCATCTTTGGGTTTTCTGCTACTCGAGCCCTTGTCTTTGGAGTTCTTTCCTTTGAGGCTCTTAACTTTGGGGTCCTCGTCTTTGGACTCCTCCTCCTTGGACTCCTCCTCCTTGGACTCCTCCTCCTTGGACTCCTCCTCCTTGGACTCCTCATCCTCGGGCTCTTCGTCTTTGGGTTTCTTATTTTTGGAGCCTTTGTCTTTGGAATTCTTACCTTTAGAAATCTTGTCTTTTGGACCCTCGTCTTCCGGATCTTCGTCTTTTGGCTCCTTGTCCTTGGGTTTCTTGTCTTTGGAACTCTTGCCTTTAGGATTCTTTCCTTTTGGGCTCTTGTCTTTCGGATCCTCATCTTCAGAATCCTCATCCTCAGAATCCTCATCTTTAGAATTCTCATCTTTGGAGTCCTCCTCTTTCGCGTCCGCGTCTTTGGCGTCCGCATCTTTAGCGTCCTCGTCCTTGGTGTCTTCGTCTTTGGCGTCCTCGTCTTTTGTGCCCTCGTCCTTAGTGTCTTCGTCTTTGGGATCATCTTCTTTGGCGTCTTCATTTTTGGGTTCTTTGTCTTTGGTGTCCTCATCTTTAGTGCTCTTGGCTTTAGGGCTCTTATCTGTAGGAGTCTTACCTTTCGGGCTTTTGTCTTTAGGGCTCTTGTCCTTGAGGTCCTTGCTTTTGAGATCCTCGTCCGCGGAATTCTCATCATTGGGGTCCTTATCTTTGGGGTCCATATCTTTGGGGTCCTTCTCTTTGAGGTCTGTGTCCTTAGAATCCTCGCTTTTAGAATCATCGACTTTAGGATCATCGACTTTAGGATCCTCGACTTTAGGATCCTCGACTTTAGGATCCTCGACTTTGGAATCCTCGTTCTTCGAATTCTCGTCTTTGGGATCATCGACTTTAGGGGTTTCGACCGTGTTATTCTCGTCCTTATGATCTTCATCCTTGCGGTCCTCGTCCTTGTGCTCCTCGTCCTTGTGGTCCTCGTCCTTGTGGTCCTCGTTCTTGTGGTCGTTATCCTTATGGTCCACGTCTTTGAGGTCCTTACCCTTGAGTTCCTCGTCCTTGTGGTCC